TTGCTTTTCTTATTTTCCATGGAAAGATAATTACAATAAATATTCTTTAGGAATATCTTCAAACAATTCTTTATTGCCTTATCCCTATTTGGCTTACAGTAGGTGAAGCAAACACACTGACAAATAGAAGCTATATAAAAGTATATACCAAAAATGTACATATTACTTGAACGAATCTCTGAACAATCACCAAATGGAGCTACTGGATCCACCTCTTACCCTACTTATCCCAGCAACATAAAGCAAAGATCGAAGGAAAGCACTGCGAATATACAATGTAGGACAACAGGGAAAAGAGTAAGGACCACTGCAGACATTCAAAATAACGTAGTTAATAGTGACAGAAAATGATGAGAAGAAAGTGGTTCAATAGGCCACCAGAGAGAGAGAGAGAAAGAGAGAGAGAGAGACTGAGACTTGTCTTTTTCCCACTCAATGCCACCTCTACCTGCAAGCATCACCGGACTTCATGTTGACAGCTTGAGTGGTAGGAAGAAGTTTAAAAAGTAGAAAATATGAATGGAGCCATGAAAAGTTTAGGCTACTGAGCTGCTGAGGCCCAGGATGCTGTGTGCCTGAGATGCGTACTTAATTCTGAGGAGGACAAGAGTACCACAAAGGGCCCAGTTAGAGTAAATTGGAAAGCGGCTGTTTAGGTCTTTCTCTGGGTTCAAGCACAGATGGGGAAAGTGGCCCCTTTCAGGTTTCTTTACATGTCTTGTTCATGTCTTGCTCTGGTCTCCTTCAGTAGGTTGAGAGAGGAGGGAGAGATTTTGTCAGAGTATAAAGAAATCCAAAACCAAATTACAAACACAGGAATTATAAACACATTTTTAAAAAAGGAGCAAATATTAATTTGCATCCTCTTATTATGAAGTGTCAAAATACTGCCAGAAATAATAATACATAATACAGCCTCTGAAATGACTAATTTTTATTTTATATAATTTGCTTTGGCTATAAAATATATTACTGTGTGTGTGTGTCCACTAACAGATTTGTGGCTCTGCCATAAGAAATCCAAGGTTGATAGATTATTTGCAGATTTTTTTTGGTTCTATCAGTCTCCTGTGGACTGACTGAATTGTGTCCCCCAAATTTCATACATTTGAAGCATAAATCCCCACTGTAACTGCTGAGGGTGGGAAATCCTATTAAGGTCATTGAAAGGTAGGGTATTAAAGAGGTGATCAGATTGTAGGACCACGCTGTAGTGAATGGATTAATAATGGTGGTCAGGGGTGTGGCTCTGAGGGCTTCAAAAGGAGAGTGAATGAGGAAGTCGGTCTCTCGCTTTCCCTGCTCTGCCATTTTCTGTCATGTAGGACCCCTGGGTCACTGTCACCACCACCAAGACCCTCCCAGATGTGTTCCTTGGACTTTAGACTTGCCAGCCTCTGAAACTGTAAGCAATAAATTTCATTTTCTTACAAATTACCCAGTTCCGTATATTTTGTTATAAGCAACAGGAATACATAGTCTGTTAAGCCATCATGTAGAAAACTCTAAACAAAATTTTCATAAACAAGCTCAAAAAATTTAAGCATTATGTGATAAATAAATGTAATCTATGGAATATATATCCTTTCTTTAATGAACATGATTAAATTTATAGAAAACCGTTTATTCAATATTCTTTCACAATATAAAGTTAATGTCTCCCCTCCCTCCACTTCTCCTGAATTAAGACAAGTGGTATTATACCTGTTAATACTTCCTGCTCTTTCTTTAAGTTAAAAAAAAAAAAAAGCAGTCATCCTGCATCAGAAAAGTAAAATAAACTCTTATGATACAATTATATACACAACTGAACATTAAGAGGAGAAAAATCATTCTATGTCATATTGTGAGCCTGAGATAACTTCTATACTTCAATATCTTATTAAACTAATAACAAGTTCTAGTCAGCTCAAAAATATTTCAGTGCTATGTGCAGTTTTCAGTTAGTGAACTGAGTCTGTGGATACAACACTCATAGTACTGGCAGGTTATTTACCATCTTGTTACCAGCTTTGATATGTGTTCAAAGTAAATGATTCACTGTCACTGATTTCTACTGTCAGACCTACAAGTCACCCACTTCTGACTTGAACTGAAAGAAAGATGCAAAACTAAAAATGGTCTGAGAGAATGACAGCTTCTCCTGAAGGGCAGATGAAGGTCAGTGACCTCTGGGCATAGCGGTCCATTCTGGTGAATCACTGCTTTGGGGAGGCAGAAAGACCCTATGGCTCATAAAACCTGATGATATTAAGAAGTGGTAAGAAATTCAACTTCAATGTCAGGGTCACTGTTAGAAATACAATTTTTAAAATTCAAGTGTAGGGAGAAATATCATAATTTAAAAATGAATGACAATTTTTTTTCCTTTTAAAAGTATTTGGGAAAAACTCATCATACAGATGTTCGTTTCTTATTCAATGTACACCGTTGGGAGATAAACAGAACTGTTAGAATACAAAAGTGCCAAGGGTAATTCAACTACTGCAGTGTAAATGTGGCATAACTGATTAGTCATGACATACAATTTTCTAAAAGCTATTCTGTTAGAAGGCAATAAATGAGTACATAAATGATTTATACTCCTCTGAACCATAGTTATTATTCAGTATTTTATTTTTAAAAATATATATACCCTATACTATTATATTTATTCTCTAGGGTATAATAAAAACATAATTGAGTTTGATGAAAAATAGACTTGATTCTAAATGTAGCATATGGCACATACAGCACTCCCTTATTTTATCCCTTGTGAAGATCAATGGTCACTTGAGGTGGTTCTGCCCTAGGTTTGTTTCAATATATGGGCAATAAAATATTTTTAATTTGAAAATTATATCCTTATGTTCCATACTATATTTTCTTTTTAATACTAACATCTGAGTTTCAGCCTAAATAACAATTTATGAATGCAAAATACAATATTTTAATCATTGTTTATATGATTTCTTATTTAACCAGTAGGGCAGGAAATTAAGTACAGATGGCTTAGCAAATAAAAATGAAGCAGTCTATAGCAAAAGCATCAGAGCTCAGTGACTTATTTTGTTTTCATGGAGCCTAAATGCCATTGTAAAAGTAGAAGTTTACCGTTTAAAAAATATTTCAAGACTTAAAAATATAACCATCTCTGGAATTTAGATAAATGACTTGTTAATCTATTTATGTAAATACTATTTTCATTTGAGTTTGAGTTAGAAACTGTGTCATGCAATATATAAAATAAAAATTACATGAATACATAATTACACTTAGGTTTAATATAGTTATTTTACATTTGTATGTAATATCAAATATAATATACACTCTTGACAGTATGGTTAAGTCATACATATTTGCTATCTTTAAAAATATATATATATATATATACACACACATACCATAAGAGCAAACACAAATTAAAAATATGAGGTTTAATTCTGCCTGTTGAAATAAGGGAAAATATTTCTTTTCCCTCCTTTTTTGTTAGAGCATTTACATTAGAAAACTTGTAATTATAAGTACTTTTTCATCTTTTTTGACACGTATCCCTTGGAAGACTAGATATGCCTTTTGTCAGCTTTGAGACCAGCAATGTCCTTTTCAAGAACCTGGAAGCTATCTTTCTGAAATGCAAACATCAAGGGAGATAGCTCTTCTATCTCCCAGTTCCTGTGGGAGAGTAAGTGTCTAACTTCAGTGGGCACTCTGCTCCCATTTGCAAAACTATCTCCTTAAGAAGTTTGTTGTTCCTCAGGATAAAGCCAATTAGCTAATACAGGTGGTCTCTCCAATTACTATGGTAAAGTTAGAATAAACTATGTTTAACAAAATGTACCATCAAGTCTTCTTACTTGAGGACTAGTGATTGTTTATCTTGATAATATATATGTAATGGCTGTTATCTGATTAGCTATGTAAGGTGGTGAGATTACTTTGTCTTCTCAGTCTCTGAGGGACTGCCTGTGATGCACACCAAATTCTGGTTTAATGCTTATTTGGTAGTAAAAGTATTTTCTTTCTCTACTACCTTAATGGAGATTATTCCTGAGATGTGAGAAGATTTTGTTTTTAATTAAAATTCCCCAAGGGTATGCTATCTTTTGAATTTATTTATGCCCATTGTTATGATGATGAAGAATTAACTATATTCTCATGTAAAACAGGAGGAAAAATATCATAGGAACAATTCACTTGTTTGGTTCAGTTTCTTTGAAAATTCAATATAACTATACCTTAAATTTTATAAAAGGAAATCCTATGTGTCATTTCACAATAGAAATTCTTACTGTGGTTTGCACATATGTAACCCACATAAGCCGAATTAGACCTTTAACAAAAAGGATTCAAACAAGAAAACTGCTTGATTATAGGGCCCACTAATACATATGAAGACAGTTCTTTCTATCAAAGAATGTGTACTAGTGGGAAACTTCTTAGCCGTCTCTGCTTCCCTCAGGATTTGAGAACACTACCTTTTGGGGTAGGTGATGAAGACTAATCCGGCATAGGAACTCTCTATGGAGTCCCTAGACAAACATTATTCTCACTAACTTAACTGAGGAGGAGACTTAAAATAAAAAAACATTATGCAAAAATAATTTATTTTTAAGTGTTCTGTTTTCAGTAACTCAAACGATCATGGCTATATACTCCCACTTTGTTTTGATACCATAATTTCAATTTCTGTGCTTATCCTTCAAACAAGGATGTTAGAGTTCAAACTCTAAACATATTAATGAAAATCCAGGACATCAATATTGGGAAACTCTCAGAAACCAATAGCAGCAATTCAATAAACTTTAACTTGCCTATCTGAAGACAGTGCTTATATTTTCCAGTCTTATTAAAAGTACTAATCAGATAAAGACAATTGTATTAAATCAATATTTTTCAGGAAAGTTAATAATTAAAACCTAAAATTATCTAAGAACAGGAAACACTAAAACCAGAACTAAGAAAACTTCACATAAATGAAACATGAAAACAACTTGTTTTAAATAGTTAGCAATATTTACCTTGTAGCATTTTGTTCGATATTTTCATCAATATCACTGAAGATTTGCTTAAATTCCAAGTCTCCAGGAAATGAGTTTAACAAACAATGCAGGTCAAAAGAATTATGAGAATATTCATCTCTCCAATCCATTCTAAGGAACAAGAATAGTAAAACATGTCACTTCCTCCAAAATGGGGGGGGGGGGCAGAGAAAAAACTCACCACCAGTTGTGATACTAAACCCAAAATAATTATTCTCATTTACAGGTACAATGAAATATAGCAGAAGAACTTGAGTATTAAGCTAGGTAGAGTGTTTTGTTATTTAAATTTCATGAGGTGTGACCTAATTTTCACATTTCTCTATGGTTTGAAAGCTGAACAAAACAGCAGCCCTCAGAGAGTACTTAAGCATCCTGCTGCTTCTCACTGTAACCAACAGCTTCAGAGGAAATCACAAAGCCCACAGACCACTGTGAATAAGAGTGGGTCTAGCAAAAATTCAACACCTTCCCTCCACCCTTGTGAATACACTGACCTGGAAATTGCAGCCTCAGACATTTTAAAGTCTTACTCTCGGGCCTATTTACATGTAAATAAGACAAAACTTTCCTTGAGTTCCTCTAGCACATCTTGACAACCTCAGTATTGATAACTGACTAAAAACTAAAGGATATGCTATTCTTTCTTGAAGCACATGTATTTTCCCACTATCAAAGCTTAAAACAATCATTAATTAATTCTAGATTTATTTATTGAATGTTTCATAGGTAACAGGCACTGCTGTGGGAGATGAGATATAGCTGCAATAAGTTAAAGTTCTTGCCCTCATGGAGCTTTTATTCTGGTGGGGGAGATGGATTTTAAAAACATGTAAACAGACATAGTTTATAAAAGATTACATGGTGAGAAGTGCTATGAGGACAAGTAAAGCATGGCAATGGGCTAGACTAAGAGTGACGAAGTTGGGTGTGAGCTATTTTATTTAGGAATATCAGGGAAGGTCTCTGAGGAAATGACATTTGAATAGAAGAAAGAAGTGAAGAAGTGAAGAAGCTGTGGGAGAAGTGATAGGTAGGAAAGACAAACTAGCTTCTTCACTACTTTGGCCAAGAAGTGACTCATCACATCTGCTCATATTTCCTTGGTAAGAGCTAATCACATGGGCCGGCCCGGTGGCGCACTGCTACAGTGCGCCGCTTGAGAGCACGGCGGCGCTCCCGCCAAGGGTTCGGATCCCACATACAGACCGGCCACTCACTGGCTGAGTGAGGTGCGGGCGCGACACCGAGGGTTGCGATCCCGTTGCCGGTCCCGGTCCGGTACGGGCGCTACACTGAGGGTTGCGATCCGTTGCCGGTCACGAAAAAAGACAAAAAGGAAAAAAAAAAAAAAAAGAGCTAATCACATGACCCTATTTGGATGCAAAGGTGGCTGAGAAATGCTGTCACTGGCTGAGCAGCTGATTCCAGGAAAACTCTACGAGATTAATCTTTGGTAGACTGCTATCCTTTCTGCTGCTGCTTCTCCTTTGTGCTACTGATTTGCCTCAAATGTCTAAATGATCTTTGTTTATCTATTTTTATTTATCAACAAAAGACCAAGTTGATAAGTACTGATAGCTGGCTTAATCCAAATGCAACAATGTTGAGAAGGGGGGTATAATAAAAGGTGACTAAATCATGAAAGTGCTGCCTTAATGAATGGATTAATGCTGTTATCGTGGGAGTGGGCTTGTTATAAAAATGACATTGGCTCCCTTTGCTCTCTAGCTCTCTTGTGCTGTCTTGCCCTTCCACCTTCCACCATAGAATGACACAGCAAGAAGGCCCTCTCCAGATGTGGGCCCCTGGACCTTGGACTTCCCAGCCTCCAGAACTGCAAGAAATAAATTTATTTTCTTGATAAACTGCCCAGTTTGTGCTATTGTTATAGCAGCACAAAATAGACTAAGACAGGATTTGTGAACAGAAGCAAGCACACAGCTGATGATTTGCACAACTGACCAAGAGTAGGATGATTTAGTTTTTTTCACTTTGGGGCATCTGCCTCTTTGCTCCCATCCAGGGCTTTGTAGAGGTCTGGAAGTAATTTAGGCTCTGTTTAGCTTCTCACAATCTGGTCAATATCCACACTAACCACCTAGATTTTCAACTTGTTTAGAAAACACTTCAAGGAGGCAACTGCTATAGTATAATGAGAGAAAGGGGCTGGCCTGTTCAGCTGCTCATAAAAATGTCTTTAGTTCCCTCCCCCCTTGATGACTATCCTATGCTACAGCTTACTTCCCTCTCTAATTTTTGTCTCTGAAGTTGGCATTACTCTTACTACCAAAACAACTTCCTCTTTTGCATATTGTAGAGTGTGGTTTCCATGCCTCTGGTTTCACTAGTCTGAGCCTCTCTACCTTCTACTTTTTAGAAATATCCCAATGGCACCACATGTTTGCTTCAGAGTTGCTTTTCTATATGTCTTTACTGACATTTCAATAAGATTTCAGGAGGGAGGAAAAGTAAATGTGTGTGCTTAGTCCATCCATCTTCAGACTTTTCTATCTTTCAATTTCCCATACTAAGGAAAATATGCAAAAAGGTATGAGACTTTGAACATTCATAACTTGGTGTAGAGTGTTTTCAAACAGGTGTGGGCTAATGAGGTAGAAACCAACTACTTATTTGATACATAAATATTTTTAAATGCTAATGCTGGCAAATTAAATGTAACATTAAATAATATAAACTCATAAGCCATAATTAAACACTTTGGCCAAGATTGGTCCTACAAGAAATTCTTGTGAAATATAGTCTACCTGTCTATCAATCAGTCTACCAACCTAAATCTGTTTTGCTTTTCTCTTATACATGCCACTGAACTATATATTAAAATGTTTATTTTAATTTATATTGTACTTATAGCATTTAAATATTATGGTCTATTTATAAAATAATTTTAGATTTAAAACTATTTTTTAGTATATAGTATAGATTACTGGAGTCAAATTTAATTTTCAGCAAGATTTTCCTAGTTAACATTGAAGCTGTCAGGAATATTTAATCAAACAAAATTCTAAAAGTTAGATCCTTGGGATTTGTGGATTTAGCATTCAATTTTGACTATGTGGTAACACATTTCAAGATTCATGAAAAGTAATCACATGTGCTGGGAGCTGTTGAGTGGAAACTGGACAGTTGGTCAGTGAGTGGGTAAGGCTTACTGCCCAGAGTCTGCACCTCAGTCCTGCTTTGTTCTTTACTTTTTAATTATACATATTTTAACTTCCATAATGGTTAAAAGCTTCTTTATTTATTAAAAAAAAAAGTCATCCAAAATAAAGCGAGCTCTGAATTCTCATAATAGCAAAGAATAGAATACGTGAAAATTTTTAGCTAAAAGCAAGATATTCTAGATAAATTAATGAGCAGACTGTCTACTAATTAAGAAATTAAGGGGCTGACCCCGTGGCTCACTCGGAAGAGTGCAGCCCTGGGAGCCCTGAGGCCGTGGGTTCGGATCCTATATAGGGATGGCAGGTGCGCTCACTGGCTGAGCGCGGTGCGGACGACACCAAGCCAAGGGCTACGATCCCCTTACTGGTCACAAAAAAAAAAAAAAAAAGAAATTAAGAATGTGAAGAGGTCACTTAAAATTTTCAGCTATATTAAAAATTTTTTTAGGTATATTGTATTAAATACTATGAGAAAACAGATGCTACAAAAGTAACATCGAGTCTACTGTAAACACATTTTTAAATAATTAAAAATATTGTATACATTTTATTTGAACTCAGTATGGTAACAATATGGTGATTACAATATTTTCTGCAGTAAACCTAATGTCAAAATTAAAATAAAATTTTAAAAGCATTTTTATTCTTTTGATAGATGAATGACTATTTTTAACCATTCACAGTACTGTATTATTTCCATAGAAACCTAAATCTAAAATTTAAAAGTTATTTAGTTTACTCGTATTCTAAAAGTAGAAATCTCAAAGATCATTTGCCACATTCCTGTCTCTTACTTTAGTATACAAAGGGTTCCTTTTTTAATTTTCCCCACCAGTTACGGGATCGCAACCCTCGGCTTGGTGTGGTCTGCACCACGCTCAGCCAGTGAGCACACCGGCCAACCCTATATAGGATCCGAACCCGCGGCCTCAGTGCTACCAGTGCCGCACTCTCCCGACTGAGCCATGGGGCCGGCCCTCCTTTTTAAGTCAAGACAAAGGCTGATCTATTCATCGTTTCTTCCTAAATAAAAACATTTTTCTTTACTTTTAAAATTATTCCAAGCAGTTACCCAAAACTTTCCCATCTCTAATTACAGGGCTATTATTTGCATTTATTATAATATTATATTATAAATATTATATAAAACATACATATATTTGAGGGATTACTAAATATACTTATAATGAGCATTTTTCTATGGCTGCAAATTTTTTAAAAAGGAAATCCATTCCTAAAGCTGTTGTTGAGAGATAGAACATTCTTGTATTTGTATGACTTTATTAAGATAACAGTATGAAAATACAAGTGACATACAATAAGTAGCCATGTCATAAAGAGTTTGGCCCTACTTATTTAAGGCACTTAGTCCTGGATATCAATGATTCAGAAAAACAATTCATGTAAATTGAAGGAAAAATATAAATACTGAGTTTTTATTTTTAAATTCTACTCAAAATGTATACAGCCAAAAAATATGTATTACATCCATAATTATCAAAATTACTTTTAATGAACACTGGACTATACAGTCTATTAATGCTTAGCTACTACTCCTTTGAAGTTAATACTCCTACCACTTAACATTTTCAAAGAAAGGCTGGCAGAAAATTAATCCTCTTCATCTGGCATTCCTAAATAACTACACTTTTAAGACAACAAAGTATGGGAAATATATATTGACATGGAAATTAGGAGTTTCACTCACTTCATAAAAGGATTCATTTAGAATTCTTCTAAATCAAAGCTTGTTTAGTATACTTCAAATATAACAGTGTTTAACAGTAAAAGGAATAAAAGTTCTATTTCAATTCTATTGTATCTGTTATCTTTATGCTCACAGTCCTTGGAATGAAAGGAGGAAGTAAAAAAAAAAAAGAACGAAAGGAGATAAATAACATGGGGGATGGCATAGCACAATGGCTT